ACTAATCAATGGAACCTACAAGCTGGAAACATTAGAGGGAGTTATAACGAGGCCAAGGGTTTTTAACGAGGCACATGGACTTAAATTTTTTTTATGTTTGTTTATAGGTATTCGACTGAAGATGGTGAGTTATAACTCGGAAAACTCCTATAAACGTGTTGACTTGCTCCGCGTACATAGGTCGCCCATAAACGCTCTGCGTACACGGGTTGATTAAACTTCTATAAACGCGTTGACTTGCTCCGCGTACACATGTCTCCCATAAACGCTCAGCGTACACGGGTTGATTAAACTTCTATAAACGTGTTGAATTGCTCCGCATACATAGATCACTCATAAACACTCCATGTACACGGGTTGATTAAAGTCCTATAAACGTATTGACTTGCTCCGCGTACATAGACCGCCCATAAACGCTCCACGTACAAGGGTTGATTAAACTCCTATAAACGTGTTGACTTGCTCCGCGTACATAGATTACCCATAAACACTCTGCGTACAAGGGTTGATTAAACTCCTATAAATATGTTGACTTACTACGCATACATAGGTCGCCCATAAACGCTCTGTGTACAAGGGTTGATTAAACTCCTATAAACGTGTTGACTTGCTCCACGTATATAGGTCGTTCATAACCGCTCTGCGTACAAGGGTTGATTAAACTCCTATGAACGTGTTGACTTGCTCCATGTATATAGGTCGCCCATAAACGCTCCACGTACACGGGTTGAACAAACACTTATAAGCGTGTTAGCTTGTTCTGCGTACACAGTCTGGATAGTCAATTACGAAAATGATGAAATACCCAAGCCTAAGCACACCAAAAGAAACTTGGGGCTTGTGAGTATTAAAATCACACACGATCAACTACCAAAGGCTTATAAAGAACTGGGAGCAAGTCTTTGACAAAAGGACACCCAAGTCAACATCGTAACCAGCACCTAAGACTATAAGAATTCTGGACTCTCTAAAGTGTCAAAGCTATATAGCCTATAACTTTAATAAAAGATAGTTGATAAACGAGCTATCCAAAAAGTCGTAGGAATCAAACTAAGCAAAGCAAAAAGGCAAAATAATGTCCGACACTTTATAATAGGACACCTTAAGTTATTATAACTTAGTGCCCGAGGGGCTAGATATACGCACATGACTATTTTGCAAAGGAATTAAAATGATGATAAACAGAAACGACATTAAAAAAAACCATAAAAGGGCCAAGTATTGTGCATGACAAAGCCCGAAGGCTGAAAAGTCATAAGAAAAAGGGGGGACAACACCACACTCTCTTATAAAAACAGAAAATTCATCAAAAGCATATCCAAAAGGATGTCTAATCAAAACAAGGAGAAACTTCAAAATCAATCAGCAGCCGAGGTACCATTCGCGCCAGCATCATCCGGGTGCTCATCCCCGTCATTATTGACAGAAGTAGAAGATTTCTACGGGTTCTCATCTATTTCTACAAGGAGGCCATCCTGCACCACCTTGAAATAATCCACTTTGGATAAATCTAGCCCGGGATGGAGGCATAAAACTTGGTATTTGGCTCTGTCAAAAGACTCGTCACCAGCAGAGAGAACTTCAATCTGAGCCTTCTTAAGGGACTCAGTAAGCTCAGTATTGGAAGCCAAAAGTTTTTGATGAGAAGCCTTGATTTGCTTCAACTCCTCGGTAACCTTTGATAAAGTCTGTTTATGCTCGTATTCAAGGGCCTCCTTGTTTTTCCTCTCGTCGGCTAGCTCTTTTTCCAAGCTATAAAGCTTATTTAATTGAGTCCTATGAGCTTCATGTAGCTGGGTAATCTCTTCTTTCAGTTTCAGCTCTGTCCTCTCAAAATCATCGTTGGATTCAAACAAGCCGCGAGTAAGGACGACACATCTTATAAGATATGAGCTTATATTTTGGGTGATCTTCTTCCTACCATTGGATTTCACTTTGTTAACTTCCTCGGGAGTGTTAAGATGGTCATACAGAAATTTAAGTCCATCAAATCCGTTAGACCAAAATTTAAACTCCCTGGACGCGGAAGTTTCCCCGAGGACTCTCATAAGAGAAGTAATCTCCATATCAGCTTGACAAACTTCTTCAACCATTAAGGTTTTCAGCTTCTTCGGAGCAACCTGTGAAACCTCTTCTTGAGTCTGAGGAGCATTAGGTTAAATGCCACCCTTACTCGGAGGAGCCTTAGTATTTGTACTCCTTATCCGCTTGGTTGACAGATTTCTAACCCGCTCGGGTCCGACTTCAGCAATATAGAGTTCTCGGCTCCCTTTCGGGCTGCTCGAGCTTCCTGCATTAACTTCTTTTGTTCAACTATGAATAGGCTCGTCATCGTATCTACAAACACATATACGAATGTCGGGAAAAAGAGTAATTAGGAATGATGAAAATAAATATAAAACAGTTACCCAGAAAGGCGAGTAGTTGTTCGTTACTTAGAGATAACAATTATTTGACCTTCATCATACAGAAGGAGCCGAGAACTATTAGATATTGGGTTTCCAAGTCACTTAACTTATCAAAGCTGAAGCCAGTAATCGACAGGGGATTCTCAACCCAATAAAAAAGGAAGTGAGGTTGGCTGTCTAAAGCATATAATACTTGTGGACACCTTAGCCCACTCTTTACCCTTAAGAGTCGATTCTTATAATTCTTATAGTTGGAGGTGTATGCCTGGAGAAAACTCTGGTCAGGAATCCCGCTAATTTGTACCTAACTACGGTTATCAACACCCATAACCTCAAAGAAATAGAAAAATAGGCCAATGGTGGGGGTGGCGTTTAAAACCTCACAAACTCTTTCAAAGGCCTTTATAAAACCCCAACTATTGAGGCGAAGTTGAGAAGAGGCTATATTCACGGTTTGTAAAACATCCGCTTCAAAATTGGAAACGGGTATCTGAATGTTGAAGTCATCTAAAACCCCAACATAAAAATAGAAAAAGTCTTCCGTGACACCTTTAGGACGAAGTATACAAACTCGTTCTCTAGGAATACATGATTCCAAGACAACATCATCCTCGGACCCTTTTGAAGATATTTGATTTTTGGATCGAAGTTTTGCGATTTCTATATCGTCAAAGACGATATTCTTATAGTTCATGACTTCGAGATCGAAGGGAGCAGCGATCGTCATTGAAGTCTTTAAAAAACCTGAGGAAGATGAGTCAGGGTCAAAATCACTTTTAGAAGTGAGAATATCACCATAAACTTCATTTATAACCCGTCTATACTCTTCTGGTCCTAAAACGTCTTCCATTTCCCACATGCATTGTTCCCACAACTCCTTTCTCTCCACGACACTCATACGAACGACACTGCCACTACCCTCATCGCCCCATTCCCCAAAGACTGTCATTTTTTCTAAAAAGCAAGTAGAAGAATAAGATAAATCAAAAAGGGTAAGGAAATACCTGTGAGTAACGAGAAGCTGAAAATTGAAATAGGAGTTTAATCGTTAAAAAAGATTATACAGAGCCAAAATGAGAAGAGGGAGAGAAGAAAGAAAGGCTTTTAAAGGACTCAGCACGCAAGGATAGCTAGGGAGTAGCCATTAACAATCATCATTACACTGGAGAAAATGAAAGGACACGATCCTCCAAGGAATTCATGACACGTAAGGACCTGAGAAGAAAAGTCAACCTATAACACGACATCAGTCAAATATATCCGGGCTCATGTTACTGCCGAGTATTGTACCCTTGTAAACAGATATAGTACTCGGAGGGCTTATGTACATGCCAAATATATTTTAAGCCGAGTTGTGTAGTTGGACAAGGTTAAGCATGAGCTAAACTACGATAGCAAGAAAGGTCGAACCATGCAGAGAGTTAGGCAAGTATCTCTTGTAACTCGGATCGGTCACATAACCCGACTCCCATCAGTCGAGCTCCTAAGAAGTCGAGTACAGACCCCATCAACCCGGTGCTTACGCCGAACATGAGCTCAACCGGCATACCAACAGTTGTAACGGTGGCGACGCATCAATGCGGACGTTACCAGAGCTTCAAAGCCTACATTCATGAAGGAGAGTTACAGCAATGATGGTCATGTAACGTCAGAAGGTCAAAAGACTCCTCTTAATGACATATCTTAATTGAAGACTATAAAAGGTGCTCCCGCATGAAGGTTAAGCAAGACACATTCATCTTGAGATAATACACAGTACACGTGTAGCTCTCAAATTTCTAAATATCTCTCACAGTATAAACAACGTAATTCTTCTTGTTTAAGACAAGAAAAATTAATATTTTTGATATACTGAACCGATTTTAACTAAAACAGTATTAATAATTAAAAATAGTTTTACATGATCTTACAATAAAAATTATTAATCTTCGTCGTCATCTAACTAATTTTAATACATTTTAATAATTTAGCATAATACACAATAATTAAATTAAACTTTAAAATGATTTCACTTTTCTCATTTTCTCTTGATTTTGTTAAAAATACTATTACCACACTAAAAAAGTAATTTAAAATTTTGTCTCCTTTAAGAAGAAAAACAGAATATTTTTATTACAGCAATTATTCTTTGTATGTAGTAACAACTCTATCCTTATTTAACTCTGTGTTGTCTCTTGCCGAACTAAATGAGCTATGAGAATTCTCCAAGCCGGCACCCATCCTTTTCAGCGAGTAACAAACCTGCAACTAAATGGCCGCGTGGTTTCGCTGACGACTACTCTTAGACAACTTACTGCTGACATGGCCAAACATATGGACCCCACCTGTCGGCCATTATCCTTCATCTCTACGTGTTTTTGGTCCCACATGCCTCCCCTTGATGTGCACAATAACAATTACTTTTACTTTTTTTGTCTCCTTAACCCACCATTAAATCCTCATATGTCCTTCCAAATGTACTATTTCCTCCAGCTTCCCTACGTGACTATAAATACCTCTTCTTTATTTCTGCATTTTTCATTCTTCATTCTTCACTCATTCTTCTCTCATCTCACTCAGATTTCATCTTTCTGTTACATTCACTCCTTCATCATGACGGTTGAATCTCAAGTGTTTCTAAAACCTCCTTCTTCCATTGACGAGAATAGCTTGAACGATTCCCTGCAGTTAATCGAAGAAATGACGATAAACACTGACTCATTTCAAGAGAATGTTCTCGCCGATATTCTCTCACAAAACGCTGATACCGAGTACTTGAAACAGTTTGAACTTAACGGTGCTACTGACCGTGAAACTTTCAAATCTAAAGTCCCTGTTATCACATATGAAGATCTGTTGCCGTATATTCAACGCATTGCTAACGGTGACACTTCTCCTATCTTGTCCGCTCATCCAATCTCTGAGTTTCTCACAAGGTTCATTCATATCTCTATTCAATCTTCATTTACAATATTTTTTTTTTCAATTTTGCAATCATGCTTCAATGAGTAATAATAAAAGTAAATTAATTAATCAAACGGTGTGAAAACTACAGCTCAGGAACTTCTGCTGGTGAGAGAAAATTGATGCCTACAATTCATCAAGAAATGGACCGTCGTCAGTTGCTTTACAGTCTACTCATGCCAGTGATGAATAAGTAGGTTTTTGTTTTTTTTCTATTCATATTTCATACTATAAATTAATAGTTGCATTAGTTTGTTAATTTTTGATTAGTAACTTTTTTTCTTGATTTGGTTTTATGAAACAGATATGTGCCAGATTTGGACAAAGGAAAAGCACTTCATTTCCTTTTCATTAAAGCAGAAACAAAAACTCCAAGTGGGTTAGTAGCACGTCCAGTTTTAACCGCTTACTACAAAAGTGAACAGTTCAAGAAAAGACCATTTGACCCTTACAATGTCCTAACAAGCCCAAACGAAGCCATCTTATGTCCCGATTCATTCCAATCCATGTACACACAGATGCTCTGTGGGCTCATCATGCGCCATGAAGTCCTCCGAGTCGGAGCGGTTTTCGCTTCCGGGCTTCTCCGAGCCATTAGGTTTCTTCAGCTGAACTGGGCTCAATTAGCCCATGACATCTCCACTGGTACACTAAACCCAAAAATCACAGACCCTTCCATCAAAGAATGCATGTCGAAAATACTGAAACCGAACCCCAAACTTGCCGATTTCATAACAAAAGAATGTTCCGGAGAGAATTGGGAACGTATAATCCCTCGTATTTGGCCTAACACAAAGTACCTTGAAGTTATAGTCACAGGTGCTATGGCTCAGTACATTCCAACTCTTGATTATTACAGTGGTAACCTTCCAAAACCATGTACAATGTACGCTTCATCCGAATGTTATTTTGGTCTTAACCTTAAACCTATGTCGGAACCCAATGAAGTTTCGTACACTATCATGCCTAACATGGGTTACTTTGAGTTTCTACCGCATGATGACTCATCCCCTATAACTCTCTCACGTGACTCACCACCAAGACTCGTGGATCTCGCTGACGTGGAACTCGGTAAATTCTACGAACTTATCATAACAACTTATTCTGGTCTTTGTCGTTACAGAGTTGGTGATATCCTTCAAGTCACCGGATTCTATAACACTGATCCACAGTTCAAATTCGTGAGGAGAAAGAACGTGTTGTTGAGCATTGAAGCAGACAAAACCGATGAATCAGAGCTTCAAAAAGCCATTGAAAACGCTTCTGAGTTGTTGAAAGAGTTCAACACAAGCGTTGTTGAGTACACGAGTTTCGCCGATGCAAAATCCATTCCTGGACATTATGTTATTTACTGGGAGCTATTGATGAAAGATTCATCAAATCCTCCTACTGATGAAGTTTTGAATCAGTGTTGTTTGGTTATGGAAGAGTCTTTGAACACTGTTTATAGACAAGGACGAGTCGCTGATAATTCTATTGGACCATTAGAGATACGTGTGGTGAAGAATGGGACATTTGATGAATTGATGGATTATGCTATATCTCGTGGTGCTTCCATTAATCAGTATAAAGTTCCAAGGTGCGTGAGCTTCACGCCCATAATGGAACTTCTTGATTCTAGGGTTGTTTCCTTTCATTTTAGTCCTTCTGCACCTCATTGGACTCCAGAACGACGTCGTTGAAGAGGTTGGCATAAAACGTGTGTAACATGCAGACATGTATTACACGAGATCTATTAGTAATAGTAGCAATAAGAATAGTAATAAAGGGTAAAACGGGAAATTTACCAGATGGATTGTGTGTAAGGAAAGTACCTTGTATGTGTAATTTTTGTTGAGTTGATATTTCAAAAGTGTTGGATCATGTTTTTTTTCTTTATGCTTTTGTATGTTTTTTTGTTGTGTCTTTGTTAAAAGAGTTGTGTTAAAAGTGCTCTGTTTTTTATTTCTTTTTTTAAAACTTTTTGCGTGTGTGGTGTTACAGTTCAATGGTTTCAAATGAGTGTGCATGATGTTATTTATGTCGTGCAAATGCTTGTTTGTTTTTTAGTCAGGAAGTGATGTATCTTATCAAAGTTAAAAGGTGTTTAGAATTTGAAACGACGTTTAAAGCTAAAAGTATCGAAACCGCTCATGCTTAGTGCGTTTGGATTTTATAAGAAATACTAAAGTCTTGATGTGATAAGTGATCAAAGTATTGGATGTAACAGTTTAATAAAGATAATTAGTTACACTAACACTCTATTTGGATAAAATTAATGTTTAGTAACTTTAATGATAAAATTAGTTGTTAAATTTAAAAAAGGTTGGAAGAAGAATATGAAATATTGAAAATGTAACAAACTTTATGTCTTTTATTATAAAGTTTGAAATTTGGTGCAATTATGATATTTTTGAATAGGCTCTATGCGGGTGTATTTTTATGCACGTGCTAGATATTCTGTCTGTTGCACTAGGTTTATATTTATATTAAAAAAATTAAATATTATGAAAATGAAGTAATTAAGTTTCTTGTTTGAGGCGTAATGTTTTTGGAAGCATTCTCACAAACAAAAGTCACAAGAGATGCACTGGTACAGACGGTTTAGTGCGTGGCAGTGTGAAGGGAGGTTGATTACTGTCACATTTGACAGCCTTAATATTATTTTGCAATAAATATTCTGTTACTTTAGATTAAACTTTGGTAGCTTTTTTAACTAACATCTTTGACTCTATTTTCTTCATCATCTCATATTGATACTCACACCATTTTAAAATGATTATCGTGTAAGATTTTTTTACACAAATTAAATAATGTAATGATATTGTTATAATATATTATATTTTTATTAAATTAGTCTTATTAATGTGTTGAAAATAGTGTACAGAGTACTAATTAAATGATATAATTGAAAAAAATAACAATTATTACTATATTGAAAATTGAGAATGACATTTATTTTAAAACAATTTTTTTCTCTAAAACGACAATCATCTTAGAACGTAGAGAGTATTTTATAAATATTTTTTAGTATTTAACATAATAAAATAATATTATTGCGTAATTTGATTGAAGAAATTTAAAAAATAAATTAGTGTTGGTTTAATCTCTCACTTTTAATAAACTAATTATATTTTTCTTTTTGGTGCACAAGCGAAAGAAGATGAATATGGAAAAGAAAAGAAAATTGTAAGTAGGGAATTGAAATTTTGTTACACTCTACAAATGACAACTAACTTTTAGCATTTATACTATCAGAGTCCAAATACAAATTCAAATGCAAGTTAAATTAAATTAAAATGCAACTGAAAATGAATTATATCTATGACCACCCCTTAATTCATATTCAGCTAATCAAACTCAACAACATAAATCTCATCCCTCAAATGGATAAATTGCTCAGTCTTGATAGCCTTAGTCAGAACATCTGTCACCTGCTTCTGAGTGCTACAGTGTACAACTTCAATCACTCCATTCTGAACTTAATTTCTCAGAAAGTGATATTTTGTGCCAATGTGCTTGCTTCTTCCATGAAGCACTGGATTCTTGGCAAGACTTATAGTTACTTTGTTGTCAGTCATCAACTTCATAGGCTTGCTCACCTAGATCTTCATATCATGCAGCAAGTTGAAAATCCATATACAACTTGATAGGCAGTCAAAGCACCTGGAATAACGTCAAAGGTTGACAATGCAACAATTGGTTGCTTCTTGGAGCACCAAGAAATAAGACCTCCTAGATTCTTGAAGAGATATCTAGAAGTACTACTTCTGTCAATTCTATCTCTACATCAATCAGAGTTTTAATAACACATCAGCTCTGAATCAGATTCAGCATCAGAGGAGAATAAAAGTCCATACTTCAGAGTTTCTTTAATGTACCTCAGTATCTTGACAATAGCTTGGTAATGTGACCATTTTGGTTTGTTCATAAACCTACTCACCGTTCCAACTACATAACAAATGTCAGGTTTGGTATTTCAAAGATATCTCAATGAGTCTACCAATTTTTTAAAAGTTATAGAATCTACATTATCACCCTCAACATCAGAATCAAGCTTGTGATTTGTTTTAGCATGTGTGGTCGCAGACTTGTAATTCATTAGCTCAAATATCTTTATAAGCTCAAGTTCATACTTCAGTTGATGCAAGATTATACCTTTATTAGAGTACAAAATTTTGATCTCTCATGTTTTCTAGTTCAGTCATCTCAAACTCATTCATCAACACCTTCTTGAACTTAGCTACCTCTTTTGAACAACTCCCTGTTAGTAATATGTTATCGACATAGATACACACCTGAATCATATTGCAATCAGATGCGTTATGAACATAAACATCATACTCCATCTCACATTTCCTGAATCCTCGAAGGTTGAAAAATAAATCAATTTTCAAGTTCCGGGATCTCGAAGCTTGTTTCAGTCTATACAAGGTTTTATGTAACTTGTACACCATCCCTTCCTGTTGGAATTATATTAATTAGAGTGGGAATTAGAAAGATTTATTGACAATTAATGGGCAATAAATGAACACAAGTAAGAACTAATATAGAAGTGAATTTGAAAAGATTCATTTTAGTCCCACATTGAAGGGAATGGAAATATTAGTAGTGTTTATATATTCCAACTTGGTCAATTGGGTTGGGCCCTAAAGGGCACCCAATTTTGTGAAAGGAGTGAGGACACACCCATGACCATCAAGACACGCGCGCGCCGCCGCCGCCGTCCGGCTCGGTCTGGTCTAGATGAATTATTTTTTGGACCCGAATTTATAGAATTTAATTATCATTAATTAATTAATATAATTCGGTGGAAAATTAATTAATAATAAATATTAATTAATTAAGAAAATAATTGGTCAGTAACTGCCATATTGACTAGATCCAGTATTTTCCCATTCTCCCACGACTTTCTCCATTCACCACGATTTCTCCCTACTCAGCCTTACTAGCTGCCTATAAATACAGGGTAGAAGTTCAGTAGTGAGGTAGCGGATTTCAAAAAAGTTCACACGAATTTTGATTTCCATCTTCTCTCCCTTAATTCTCTTCGTCTACAAATCCTTCTTTTCTTGTTTTTTCGACTGGCTATTTTCGCCAGATACTGTGACTTAGAAAGGTGTATTTCTAGAGCGATTTATCAATTGTACGTTATTGAACGGGCTGTTTTATCCTGGAGACGTTGTCGTAAATCGACTGCTTTGCATATTTTGGCAGTACGGCGAAATGTCTTAAAGAAAGCGACCTAGTACGCGACTCGTCCCGATAATTTCCTTGCTCCAAAATCAATTTTTCAAATCCGAAAACAACAATTTTAAGACGTTTTAATAACTGCCATGGCAACTGAGGAAATTATCGGTACTACTGCGACCGCTTCGGTCTCTGACAAACCTTTCATGTTTGAGGGTTCCAATTTCAAACGTTGGCAAGCTAAGATGAAGTTTTTCTTAACTCTGAAAAAGGTTGCCCACTGTTGCACCCCAAAATTTGACCAACCGTTTCTTGCAATTTGGGCTTATGTCTCATTTCATTTGCATTTCGCATATCATCTCTCGTATACGGTGCATTTCGTCAGTCAGGACGAATTATCGGGATCACAGCCCCTTTTTCTCGCGTTACAGGTGATTAAAACTGGTTCAAGGAAACGAGATTTATTTCAAGATCAAGCAGAGTTTGCTCACTCTGTGAGTCCAGTCCGTGCTGGTATTTTCAGCGACCTTCCGGTGCTCGCCCTTTTTTTTATGACATTTTTATGGCTATTGTTTAATTATGTAGATTTTAAATAGAATTAGTTTAATTGTTTAGGTTTTTATTAATATAGGTTTTACAAGTTTTAAATTTAAATAGATATTATTTAAGTTTTTTTATATTTTTAGATTTATTTTCCTTTATTTATTTAATAGTTTTTTTTTAGAATTATATAGTTTTTATTTGTTATCAGATTAATATTTTATTTAGTTTAGTATAGGTTTTATTTAATTAGGACTTTAACCACTAAATAAACAAAGGAAAGAAAGCTAGTAACAAACAGCTTCAGCTTTGAACAAAGCGATATTCTGCTTGAGTTCACAAATCACAATTAATAACAAGTTAGCCACATCATAAATAGGTTGAGTAAAGAAAAAGTACCACAGCTTTAACTTGTTAGCAAGTGTGAGAAAAATAGTACATTAGGAGGGATTTCATTACACTGTTGGTTCTTTCAATTTCCATTTACAGGTTCATAAGAAACCCACCAGATATTTCCAGGATAACAACCTGACATTGATAATACAACCGTGCCCCCTACTTATAGAATCAGTCATTCTCATTGAGCCACAAACCCTTCCTTATTATTAGAATTAAGGGCCTTGACACAGAGTTTAGGTTTAGTATTAACAAGGTTGCTAGGAAGAACAGAAACAGCAGCCACTAGGGACCCATTAGGTACTCCAGAGAGGGGTAGAACCTCAACAAGAACAGATAGCTCTGGAGACCTGAGATCCACAACTGAATTTTTCACAACATGATTGACAGCGGTAGCCACTATTTCGAAGCATTTATTGCGATCCAGCAAACTGTTAGAACCATTTAAATTTTCTTTCGCAGACTTCGTCTCTTCAATACCTCTTCGGTTAAATCCAACAGCAAACTTTAAAGGCCACAGCGTGCCACAAATGATACATACTACCCACCGTTCTGCAGCAACAGGTTCACTAAAACT